GCCCCATGTAGGTGTGCCTTCACTCTCCCAGGTATATTGGGAGCTATTATATGGCATAAGTGTGACACAGATTGAATTATATTGCTAATCACAATGTAAATTTTGACGGGTAATGAATGCCTGCTGTGGATCCCCTAGCCATTCAATGACAGCTTCAAGGGCCACTAGGTGAGATAAAATATTTTTATCAGTATTTACTTGTTCTTAAAATCCATGGGTCACATTGTATATACCATGTGGTTCACCACTGAGGCTGTATGAATAGATTCCATCAAAGAGACAGCTGCAGTAGCAGCAGTTGTTAGTATAATAATAGCTGAAACTAAAAAGGCAATTAGAGAGGCCAGACTTTTTTTTTTTTCTTTTTTTTTTTTGAGTATGAGACAATGCTTTTCTAAATAACTGCAAGATAGAATCCCCTTTCCAGTTCTGGGTTGGATATACAGGGAGCCACAATCCTGACCACCATTTTAAAATAATGACATAGGGCCGGGCATCGTGGCTCACACTTGTAATCCTAGCACTTTGGGAGGCCGAGGCAGGCAGATCACGAGGTAAGGAGTTTGAGACCAGAATGACCAACATGGTGAATCCCTGTCTTTACTAGAAATACAAAAACTAGTTGGGCGTGGTGGTGCATGCCTGTAATCCCAGCTTCTTGGGAGGCTGAAACAGGAGAATTGCTTGAACCCAGGAGACAGAGGTTGCAGTAAGCTGAGATCATGCTACTGCACCCCAGCCCATGTGGCAGAGTGAGACTCTGTCTCAAGAAAAAAAAAAAGAAAATCATAACATAGTTTATATTTAATTGTGTAACGTTTTGATGAGACAAGCATGTAGCATATCAACTACTGGAAGAAACAGTAATACTATAAAAGGATTGATTCTGTTTTATGTTAGGAATACCCTGCCCAAACAAAAGTATATAGGGGTGCATAGCACAAATCAGGACTGTATCAGTAACATTATTGTGCAAGGAGAGGGTGTAGTTGTCACCACTATAAATGTAATCACTTTTATTATGAAAGAACCCATTCAAAAAAGGGAAGACCTAGTTTCCAAATTTGGGTATGCGCAGGGCCTAAAACTTGTTCCCCTTTTGATTGTAATATTCGTCCTGAAAGCCCATACTCTGACCAGGTGATGGAACTATTGGCTGGACTCCCAAATCCGATAGTCTGATTTGCAGACATGGGATCTCCAAGGGGTCCCCAATCAAGTAAGGTGCCACTATCAAACAGGTCCTTGACACGGCACAGGTTGTCTGCATGGGGACCACTGGACAGCCTCAAACATATCGCCAGTCTTTTCTCGGATGGCATATAGGAAGATCAGGCATTTGTATAATTTCATTAGAAACCTCAGTAAGATTACTGGTAACGGCAGAAATAAAAGTCAAGTTTGTGGGCTTAACATCCCTTTTGAGCTGATAGTAAAGATACTCCTGAGGAATGTGAGTAATACACTTAGGTGCCAATGTAGAGAAACAGAGGAGGATTGCTAGACAGTAAAGTCAAGGAGTCATTAAGTTTAATCCATCCCAAATTTTCAGTGAGGGAGTAAGGGGCATCCATCGACCTCCCATCCAAGAAGTATTATTAGATGACAAAGGCGGGTCAGCATCCCACCACGTAATAACATTGAACACCGAGGGATTCAGAACATGACTCCAATAAAGATGTTCTTGAGCTAAGCCCACCTGGCAAAGAACAAGAATTACCAGCCACCCCAACATCCATGTCCGTCTTACTTTCTCAGAAGCTTCCCCAATTACCGCCAGATACATAAGAAACTGGTTCTCTGCAGTTGCAGGGGCTCCCATGGATGCAAGCCAGATAGTTCCCTAGTGGTCCCTATCTGGTTAATGTCAGGTGCTGTCCCCAGCTAATGTCAGGTGCCTTCCAAATCATCACTGTCAGTTTTGGTCGATTCTCCAACGACAGGTCCTTCGTTATCAGGAGGAGCTTTCTTCAGTGGTCTCTAACTCATAATATGGCTTCACTCATTTTATGGGGATCCATTCTAGTCCTGTAGTTCATGAAACACAAACCGCACCTCAACTCCATTGCAATGCCTCATAAAGTCCCTCCCAATTCCCTGTACAAATGTCTCAGATTAACATCTTTCGTTTTGTGACCTCAACCAGTTTCATCCTACGATCAATAACCATCTGGCCATCTTTTCCAATATTCAAAAAATTGAGAGTAAGATTTTTGCTATCTGTTCTCAAGGAGAGAGCTCCCATATTCCCTTTTTCATTTACTAAGATATACTTTAAGGGTTTGATGAGCTTGTTCAACAATGGCCTGACAGGTCGAGTTATAAGAAATACCAGTTTTGTGTTGTATGTGCCAAAGTTGCAAAGCATATAAAAAACGAGTGCTAAGATAGCAAGGACCATTATCAGTTTTAATAGTCTGTGGAGGACCTAAGGTCATAATAGATTCAAAAAGATAAGCAATTCATCTTTAGTTTCTTCTCCAGTCTATGGAGTCACGTATATCAGGCCCGTATAAGTGTCCACAGTAACATGGAGAAATTTAAAGCGTCCAAAAGGTGGATGCTGAGTAATATCAGTTTGCCAGGTAGCATTAGGTACCAGACCTCATGGGTTGGCACCAAGTCTCAGTGATAAAAGAGAGGGAGAATGCTGTTGGCAATAAGGACAAATTTTAATAATCATGCAAGCTTGATCGAGCATTAAATGAAACTGTTGTTTAAGACTCTGAGCAGGCCGGGCACAGCAGCTCACACCTGTAATCTCAACACTTTGGGAAGCTGAGGTGGGTGGATCACCTGAGGTCAGGAGTTCGAGACCAGCCTGACCAATATAATGAAACCCTGTCTCTATTAAAAATACAAAAATTAGCTGGGCATGATGGCATGAGCCTGTAATCGCAGCTACTCGAGAGGCTGAGACAGGGGAATCGCTTGAACCTGGGAGGTGGAGGTTGCAGTGAGCTGAGATCGTACCACTGCAGTTCAGCCTGGGCAACAAGAGTGAAATTCTGTCTCAAAAAAAAAAAAAAAAAAAAGACTGTGAGCATTCTGATGAAAGAAGGAATGATCAGCTTGAGCTTACAAAAATGCAGGAGAGTCTCCAAACCTCATCTGTGTTTGTACCAGAGCATCAGCTCGAGTGTTCCCTTCTGACAAGGGACTAGGTAGCCCAGAATGAGAGCAAATATGTGTGATATAAAAAGGTGACAATGGGGACAAAGGAGCTCATGTGTTGTGAGAAACAGGGTTAGTAAGGGTTCTTTAGTAATGCCTTTTAAATGTGCGAGATCTAAATGAGTAATACTATACACTGCATAAGCAGAATCACTAATTACGTTCATGTCTTGGTAAGCAAAAGTTTGTAAGACCAATATTAGGGCACCTAACTCAGCCTGTTGTGTAGTTTTGAAATGTTCCTGGATTTTGTGCTGCCAATTTTGCATGGCATCTTGCCACACTATAGCTGACTCTCCCATTTCTCTTGAACCATCTGTAAAGACAGTAGTGGCGTGAAGCAAGGGCTCAGAGACAACAACAGATGCAAATTTAACAGGCACAGTTTGTAAAAAGTTCAGAAGCTTAGAGGCTGGTAAATAGAAATCGATATTACCAATAAAGTTGGTCATTGCAACTTGCCAATCAAGATCACAGGCTAAGAGAGTATGAAATTGTCCCTTGCTTAAAAGTAAGAAAAGAGTAGCAGGGTCATATCCTGACAATTGGATGCAATGTTGGCATCCCTTTATGAGAAGCTATTAAATCTGTGGTCTTTTGTAGGTGTTTTGAGGGGGTTACAAGACAGAGAAAGCCACTCCAAAGGAGAAACATTTGTTCCAATTTGCCCAAGCATTCCTGTAGGGCTTTGAGGGGTATTAAAAATCAAAAGATCTATAGGTCTGTCAGGATCTAAACCCAATATGCACCATTGGGCCAAGACTTGCTCCACAGCCATAAGCTTTGCCTCTGCTAGCCAAGAGAGGTCTTGCAGTGAATTTAAAGCAGAGTCACCTTTCAGGGTGTCAAAAAGATTAGTCAAGTAATTTGTAGGAATACCTAAATAGGGACGTATCCAACGAATCTTTCCTAGGACTCGCTATCATGTATTAAGGGTTAAGTGCTGTGGAAGAATTATTTTTGTAAGTTGTGGCCTGAGCATAGTAGATAAAATAAGACTTCCTATATAGAGCCACAGAACCATTAGCTGGACTTTTTCTTGTGCAATAACGAGACCATATTGTAACATATGCTGTACTACCATTGCATGAAGTTGATGCAGTAATGACTGATGCTGAGCAGCTATCAAAATATCATCCATATAGTGGAAAATTTTTGCCTAGGGGAAGGATTGATGCACAGGAAGTAAGACTTCATGTACATAAAGCTGACATATAGTAGGGCTATTCATGATCCCCTGGGGTAGAACTGTCCATTGATAACATTAAACTGGTTGCAGAGTATTATAAGTGGAAACAATAAAAGCAAAATTTTCTCGATCCTCAGGATGCAAGGGTATGGTTAAAAAAAAAATCCTTTAGATCAATTACAATAAGAGGCCAGTCTTTGGGGATCATAACCGAAGAAGGTAATCCTGGTTGCAAAGGCCCCATAGGAAACATTACAGCATTAATAGCACAGAGGTCATACAATAACCTCCACTTTCCTGACCTTCTAAGAATGTTAAAATAGGAGTGTTCTAGGGACTAGTCCTAGGCTCAGTGTGGCCAGCGTCTAGTTGTTCTTGTACGAGACATTGGATGTGTTGCAATTTTTCCTTCTTAATGGGCCACTTATCCGCCCATACTGGGCTAGTAGTTTTCCACTTGGTTTTGATAATTTTCAAAGGAGCAGTGACCCTACCAAAAAGGCGGCAGGACAGAGAGGTTTAAACCCCACCGTTCTAGGGCATCTCATCCCCACAGAGAGAATGGAATCTCTTCAGATAAAGGGCTGAACATGGGTGACTTTGCCTTCCAGGCCCAAAAGTGGAAAAAAATACATACTTAAAAAAAAAAAAAAAAAAAAAAAAAAAAAAAATTCTGCTTTTTTATAAAACTTGATAAAAAATAGTATTTCAAACTCTACAGTCACCAGAAGTACACAGTTATCAAAAATGCACACACTTCACTTGGCATCTCCAGCACCTTCAGCTTTCTGTGCCTGGTCTGTTTTGGCATCTCCGTTTTCTGCAGGGTTAGTCCCCTCCTTGCCAGCATCAGCTTTTCCCTTTTTCCCTTTGGGTACTGTCTCTCCCTTCTTTGCAGGGGCCTTTTTAGGCTTGGGCTCTGGCTTTGGAGGAGCAGGTTTAGCAGACAACCTCGCGGATCTTCTCTGTGGTTCGTCCTTCACCTTGGCTTTATCTCCTTTAGCATCCCCTTCAGCCTTTCTCTTGGGCATGGTGGCGACGGCGGCGTGACGTAGGTGCTGGACGCCGGAGCAGCGGCGCACGGGCTTTGGTCGGTCCGGGGGTCGTTCTCGCCTCTTCTTCCGAATATGCCTCCTTTTTATTGGCTGTCGATACCCTCCAACACCCATGACAGAATATCAGGCAGGAGAGGCCCAATCTGAAGGCCACTGTTTTTTAGCAGTTATAGTTTGATCAGCCACCATATCAATAATTCTCATAAACATAACTCCATTAATTGTTACTTCCAAGTATGGTCTATGACATGACACTGGAGTACTCCAAAAAACTTTCATCCCTGAGTGGCCGAATCCTGAGGCCCCACAGGTCTTCTGTTGAGCATTACCTTGAAGGTAAGGAATAAGAATAATCTGAGCAAGGCAAGCTCCTTTAGAGACGGTGTGGACCCCTGACACCTGTGCCATAATTTAATTTCTCCTAAATAGTCTGAATCTATGACTCCAGGGAAAATTTGAATTCCTTTAAGTGTACTATAAGACCTTCTGACAATCAATCCAAATGTTCCTCTGGGTAATGAGCCATAGATTCCAGTAGAAATCAGCTGGACCCCATCTTGCTCTTTAAGCACCATGTCTGTTATGACTTTGAGGTCCAGCCCTGTGCTGCCAGAGGCGGCTGAAGAGAGGTTATGGTTGCTATTTCTGGTCCTGACTAGGAGGGAAAGTCATTCCCCAAGTCTGGGAATTGGTGTTCCTCCATGGATTTTTCTGAGCGCTGGAGCGATTTTTTTGCCCCTCTTCCCGTTTCCCGATAATGGGTGTCCATCCTTATCAAATTTTTATTTTCACTGATTAGCCCAGTGCTTCCCTTTGCTGAATCACGGGCATTCTTGAGAGGGTATTTTAGGGGCCTTTGATTTCTTTGGGACTCCCTTCTGTTGGCATTTTCCAAACATGTACGTAAGCTTAGTTTTAGAAGTATTCTTCTCAGCATCTCTTCACCAAACTATATCAATTTTATTATTTATTTATTTATTTATTTATTTATTTATTTATTTTTGAGATGGAGCTTTGCTCTTGTAGCCCAGACTGGAGTACAATGGCACAATCTCGAATCACTACAACCTCCACCTCCTGGGTTCAAGCGATTCTCCTGCTTCATCCTCCTGAGTAGCTGGGATTACAGGCATGTGCCACTATGCCCAGCTAGTTTTTCGTATTTTTAGTAGAGACAGGGTTTCACCAAGGTGGCCAGGCTGTTCAGGAACTCCTTACCTCAGGTGATCCACCTGCTTCGGCCTCCCAAAGTGCTGGGATTACAGGTGTGAGCCACCGCACCCAGCAACTATTTTAATTTTAAAAAGTAAGAAGTGGGGAGGGCTTTTTAATGTTTTATTCCTTTCTATTCAGTTTATCTTATCCTATACATAAATGGAATAAAGCGTGGTGTCTGTCCTGACCAAATTTATGTTGCGGTGATGCAGAAATATCTATGCTCCTGAGCAAGAGATGAAAAATCATGTTACCTGGGGCCCAAAGAGATGTTCAGGTTACATCTGTCAGGACTGATACCATAAGAGAGAGTCATCTTTTGAGCACAGTGAGATTTTGGTGAGTCATGTGGATGACATCAGAGACAAGCATTACCCGAACTTAGAGTCCTTATAAGACTTTCATGTAAGATTGTCTGAGAATATGGTGGCCCAACTCACACAGAAGAGGATGGCTGTGCATCCAAGTGAGACTGATATTTTTTCTCAGGAGCAGAAATCTTAATGTAGGAGATGGCCACTCACTGAGTAGTCGAAGCATGCCCTGATGGAACTCTCTCGGGGTCGCGTTGCACACTGTCTCCCTGAGTTGCATAAACCACAGAACAGCATGCCTGCACTCTGGCTTCTAGTGTGTACCAACTCAGCAGAAAACACATCCCTGTCTATTTTGTTTCAAAAATACTTTGTTTGCCATAAAAAAAGTGAATTAATATAGTAGAAACCCAAGGACTGCCTAGGGGTAGGTAGCAGGTCTGTCATCACCAGAAGTATTTAAATGCTGGCTAGACGAATACTCTGTGGAAATGTTTCACTCTTTGTGAAAGGAGTAAAATGTCTTTTTCTTGGGCACTGACAGATCTAGTGAAGATCCTACCATACAATAGATAAACAGCAACTTCTGTTTACTAAATAAACTTTGTTTTCACAGATTACAGGTGAAGCAAAATATTGATATAACATTAAGGTATCACAAGACCACTTATGTTCTTCATGGGGTTTCAATTAAGAAATTGCATGAGAAATAAGTCCATGAAAGGAATTCTGATGCTCTCATTAGCATCAGAACTGCTCTGATGGGCTTAAGCCATTGTGAAAGTCCTAGCTTGGTTCCTACCCAGAGTCTCTTCTCATGAATCCTATGCTTAAAAGTCAAACCGATAAAGCGTCACTACGTCAAACACAAACTTCAACACTCTTAACATGTAGGTGTATATCTCACCTGAAAATCATTGAAAAGGTCAGGTCATCTACAAGAAATATGTCCTTTGCATTTTAGTATCAGTAAATTAAAAGGAAAGCAGTAAAAGAATAAGAGAAAGCCATTTAATTATTTTTGTAGGTAAGAACACAACATTGGTTTATCAGTTACATAGTATTTTTCATGCTTCATCCATGCCAGGTACTTAATTTTTAACCAACTCAAACACATTACAAGTGGAGAAATAGCTAAAAACATGGAAAACATATACATAACTCTTTAAAGGGTAGAGAACATGCCCAGTTCATATACATTGCCTAATCCAGCATTCCAATCTCAGTAAGGCACCACCATCCACCCAGCTATAAAATCCAAGATCAGGAAATCATCTATCCCTTCCCCACACCATCCCATCAGCAAGCCTCTCCTACCTCTTAAACCTCTATCAGATCCATCTGAGCTCCCATCTCTACTGTCTCTATGCTTCAGGCCACCAATGCTTTTCAAATTTTTCATAAACTAGCCTTCTAACTTCCAAATAGAAGGCCAATCATTATTTCCTTCTACCAGTTCTATTTACTACTACGAGTAAAAATAGTCCATAACATTCAAATCTCACCACAGTACTTCTGGACCCAACACTTTTTACAGCTTTCCAGAGCTCTTACAAGCCTACTCTAGCCCCCGCCTACTTCATCATTCCTGCCATTCCCCTCATTCAGTGTCTTTTCTTCTTCCAAACACACTGTACTTCTCCCACTTCCCTGGACACATCCACCTTTTCAACCTCAGCTTCTGTACCTGCTGTTCTCTGAAGGATTGTTTTTCTTCCTGTCACCATTCTTCAGATATTAGTTCAAATATCACTTCCACAGGATGCCTTCCTTGGCCTGCATCCCGACGTCCTCCATTCCTCTCCCATACACAAAGGCCAAATTTTACTTCATAAGTTCTTGTCATACTTGACTTTGAGCAGTTAACACTAATAAAAGTGAGCTTTTCATGGCTGGATGGGTCTCTTTTAATGTGATATATCCTCTCTGATATTAGCAACTGTCCATCTTTGCAATACAAGTGAGCTTGGAGGTAAAGTCAGAACCTTCACAAGCAGATAATTGGATATTTATGGAATAAATAAAAATGTGTAAATGTAAAAAAAATCATGGGAATGGTAAATTTGATAGTGAAAAACTGTCTCTTTTAAAAGAGGCTAAATCTGATACAGAACTGTACTTAGAAAAAATAAATTGTAAAACCTTAATAAGCTTTTGAACACAAAAATGGCTCTTGGAAAATTTATTTTTATGATTTAAATACAAATCAAATCCAGAGAAACACAAGTTAAACCTCCTTTAAGTTACTCTTGGTTTACAACTTTTAAGTTGAGTGTTTTAACCAAATACATATAGATTTAACTGACCAAATCACAGAAAACCTGTTTGAGATGTTAAACCATTATAAAACAATCCACTGAACCAACAATTAAAAGCTCTAAAGTGAAAGATAAAATAGCCTAAAAAATCTATTTTCTGTATCGTAGAGGAAAATATAGAAGCCTCTTCAGAAATAAAACTAAGTTAGAATATTATATCTAAATGTATCTGCCAGGTATGAATCTAAATTCTAGTTATCATACAAGCACTTATTAATCGACATTTACAGTTAGTAATGTATCCTTAATCAATCAGGCTTTCATCTTGTATAAAAGATACTAAGCATTTTTCACTCACAATGCTAACATTTTATTTGTTAAAAATTTAATCTTTGAAAAGAAAATCCATTCAATGGTTCACCTTGTGTTTCAGAATACCCACCTTATCTTCTGGGTATCTCTTTTATTTCTAAAAACATACGTACCTCTATTGAAAGAAAGTTAAAATTTTGATTGTGTGTATTTAGAGAAGTGCTTTGTTGTTGTTTTTAACAATAAAGCACCAGGGTAAAATAACTTCCCCTGAAACAGTAAAAATGGTTCTTTTTATGAGTGTGATATATAATCAATTATTATCACATGGGTGCATTGCACATACACACATCAAGCAAGATTTATAGCCTGCAGGTTTCTGGTTTTGCAATCAATTTTAAAACCAAGAAGTAATGGAATGAAGGGAAGTTAAATTATATATAAACAAACACTTCTATTAACTCATACCACTAGTGAAACAAAACTCTAAATAAGTAGAGAAAATGAGTTCACACACTGAAGCTCTGAAATGTTCTGGGTCTTTTATCTGTGCGTTTATTTTTCCTATTGAATTTAAAGTTCAAACCAAAATCCACTAATAATGTTTAGAATTATTAAAGGCCACAGTATGGCAGCTTTTAGTGCAACCAGGCATTAAGAAGCATTTTCTTTTCTATTTAAGCTGAGCCAACTTTTATTTTAGAATTTCTGTAATTCAACATTCTTTCCCACCAAAGCACCTAAATCTTTTTCATGTAGCTGCAAATGACTACGTGACAGATATGCCAAAGTTGTTAGTTTATGTCCACTTCCTTTACTGAATGTGTAGTGAAAGGCCTTAGTTTTCAATTTACATGTGGTTCTTCTCTAAGATCTTAAAAAAATCTCATGTTTATATTAGAAATCAACATGCGGCCAGGCGCAGTGGCTCAAGCCTGTAATCCCAGCACTTTGGGAGGCCGAG